GATCGAATGTTCGTGCTCCCCACAGTAGATGCAGTATAATTCAGGGGGGCAGGTCTGTGGACGTCGCAGGAGCCATCGCAGCGTTCTGTTGGACAGCGGCTACTAAGGCTTGACTGATGGACTTTGTAATAACCTCCACCAGTGACGACAGGTCCTCCGATTTTACAACTGGTGCATTCGGACCGCTGCTGGCTGGCTCCGGACGCTTCTCAGTGGTCCCTATGGCCGAACACGCAGTCGCACGATTGGAGTCAGTAAGCTTGAGGATACCGACCCACATCTATCCTTCCGCATACAAGTCTTTCAACATGTCTGTCGATGACCAGCGGCCATACATACGCTATAATCGAAAAGAGCTGTAAGCATAATTTGACCGGGGGACGTACATTTGGAGGGTCTGGCTGATCTTGCGTTCGGTAGTGAAAAGCTGAAAAAGGAAGAACTCGTTCAGTTGGTGCAATTACAGCCCGGCAAGTGGCCCAACAATGTCGAGTGGCCGCCAGCTGGCCCTACCAAGGCAGTCTTGAGAAAGGTACTACTCACCCCACGCTATGGCTTCGGAAGGCCCGTCGAGGATGTTGGCGAAATACCTCACGTCAAGCCATCCAACGATTCCGCACCATCGCGAGCAGCTTTTGCTGAGGAAGTTATGCGACGCCAGTCCTCATCATCGGTCCTTGAAGGAGGAGAGGATCGAGGAGGTATGACACGGCTCTCGCTCATCTGCCTTACTTTACCTCTAATCAGCGGGCTGGGAATCTTCGGAAGGACCACAAGATGCAGCTCCTCTGACTGAACAGCGCGAACATGTTGGGGAGCAGAGTACTCGCATCCCGGAGAATGATGGGTCCTTGACGGAGGGGACCTTGATGGCGGCGACTGGTCAGCTTTCACTGTCTTCCCAATTTGAGACTTGTACGAATACGAGAGGTCGCCACAAACCAAGTATGTATATCAGCCCTGAATGCAGGTTTTGGAGAGCAACACTCACCCTAGCAGACGAGATACACGAAGAAGAACAGACCGCATCCGGTGTCCCAGGGGATATCTCCGAGACCGTCATCTCTAGCGAAGTCCCAGGACGTGCTCAAGACATTGCACATCCGGATGACACTGCGACTGAATGTCAAAGCCTTGGGCAATCCAATGAGACGCTAGAGAATGAGGCTGTTTCCGATCAAAGCATGGTGTTTGCGGACCGGATGCATGAAGCTCCTTTGTCGCAAGGCCTATCAATGGATGGGAGTTACTTGAGTGATGCCAATTGTACGTTTATCTTAATGATAAGTAACAAATTCTGATGTCACATTCCAGGGGAGGACGAATTTGGGAAACTGAACTTACATGACGAAGGCCACCGCAGCGATGCATCTAATCTGAATGATACAGAGGTTGTGCATATCACAGTGTTCTATCGTCTCAGCGTTTGCTGAGGAGAATACACAGGTTATGTTGGTTATTCGAGACTTACGAGTGCCGTCGTATCCCGTTAAGGCGCGCATACCGTGCGACGGCCGCGAACTCATTAGGAAAGGCAACACTCTATTTGTGAATCTATTGGACCTTGTCAGCGAGCTTCAGAAGTCGGTTAGCAGAATTTACGGTATGACCCAAAAACGTCCAAAACCAGTAATTCACGCTCACACACTGCTGCTTTGTCCTTTGAGGCTCTGGTAAGGTTGGCGTATTTTCCTTCGACGAGCGAAATGAACGATTCTGGGAGACCGTCGCTCTTCTCAATGAGGGACAGGTGGTGGTAGGAGATGATTATATTGCGCCTATACCGGTCGATAGGCACATCACGATTAATGTGATTGATGTAAGCATCGTCGTTCACTTAAGTAAACAGGGTCGTCGGTCCCACTCTCATACTTACTACAGGTAACGGGTACCCAATCGGTCGCCAGCGATCATCATCCCGATAACGCTCCAGATGGTCGGACTAGTGCAGAAGGCACGGTGTCCCCGAATCTTACCGTCGACAGCGAGTCTTCCAACACTTCCCACGTCACTGATCCGAAGGAACTGGAGTCTAGCGTGGAACGCTCGATTGAGAAAGAACTCGCCCCTCTCGACTCCTCGACTCCAGCACCTACTACGACTACTAGGGTGCCATGGATGGTCCTTCCCCGACAGGAAGTGACAAAGAGGGTAGCTCAGGTGATCACGCAATATATGAATTCGCCGGCCGTAGAGGGAACACATTTTGGTAAAATGTGGAAATACCACCACGACACCAAGAATCGGCAAGTCTCCGACGACCAGCACATCGCGCACTGGAAGTTTTTGGAAGTTTTCAGGGAATTCTGGCTAGAGAAGCGCACTGTGCGTATAGAGGTATGACATTGTCTCTGATCTTCGCATTCTCAATCGAAAAGCAATGTGTGGGCAGATGGACGGACATTCAGAGACAGTGCCTGTCCTGAAGAGTCACATCAACAAAGCTCTGAACCGCGGAAAGACATGGTTCGTACCCAAGCGACGTGCTTACCAGACATACCTGCGTTTCGGGCCTGACTCTCCCAATCCGCACCCCAAGCTTTTGAGGCGCCTGGACGAGGGATGCAGTGAAGGTGCTGCAGCTCTCCAGGAATTCCTCATTGAACTTGAAAAAGAGGACGAGGAAGGTTACGCTTCAGAGTAAGAGGCATCGCGAGTTAGATGGAAGACAAATGGTCGTTCCGGTCGAGTTCCTTACTAGTAGTCATTTCGCTGCTCGTGAATCCATGGGCGTTCATAAGTTATCCCTTTGATTCCGACCATTACCCCTGGATGTGCGCTCTGTATTAGTCCGTGAACATATATGATCAACGTTTGCAAGTACGGGATCCAGCCCAAGTGCATTCACGAAGCCCGACCTTCACAGCCACCATCCCGTGCGTTGGTCAATACGAGAATAGGTCAGGACAAGTCGACGACATCTCTTCACTTCATTCATGAACTATTGGACGGTACAGCTTAAGAGTTATTCATCCCACTTCTGACAAATAGTGGGTAATGAAACACAGACTGCTGGCTTCGGCCTATGCCAGCAAGCCCGATCCGAAACGCCCCAGATTATCCAGCTCAGCAAATAGTGAGTGTACTCAATATGACTACTTGAATGTGTAGCTGAAGACAGTTCCTAAGCAGCGCTGGATGGAGCTGGCTCTAGATCGGAATACGTCCAGGACAGCGATTGTAAAACATTTCGCACAGGGGTGCCGCGAGAGCTCAGGGCTGCCCTCAGCTTGTGTCTTAGGTGCCAAGCGGCACAGAGTGGGAAGAACTCTCAAGAGATAGAGCAGAGAGCCTTAACCGACGATCCCTGTCGATTCAAAGGTGCGTTTTGTGGATAGATTCACCTCGCCCTTGCTTAACATAAATCAGATTTGAGACGACTATTTGTGAACGAGGATCGAAGTTTCGAGATTGTTCTGAAAGATGGAACCAACGGACTGATTCCTGATTACTGTCGGGTGTTCACAAAGCGACCCAGTGCTCCTGATGTGGCCGTCTTGAAGGTGATTTCCGGAGACCTTGCCACCCCTGCAGAATGAATTGATCTCTGCCTAGAAATATCTAGCTCAAAAGCTTATACCGGTGGTGAGAGCTGAGATAGCTCGTTTAGGAACGGATGTTTTGATACGTCCGCAAAATACCGCAAACCGAGTTATCTGCGGTTGGCACTCGTTTTATTGAAGTAGAGCACGGCTAATGATGTGAAATGAATAGATGCGTGTCATATGGCAATATTCTGGGGAGGATTCGTCTGTTCGATCTGTGCCTATGACTGCTGCCAACCTTGTCACGGCGCCATAGCTATGAAGGTGATGCAGCGTCTGATTTCTAGTTCAATGGTCACTGACATGTCGCCGGTGTTCTAGAATACGTGTCGAAGCCGCCCCAAAACCAAAGCAATACAGCATTCGTTCCTTCCAGTTTCAGCCTTCCAACCTGAAGAACTGAAAGGTATTTTGCATGACATGAATAATGCCGTCACCGGGCCGCCATTCGCCCATGCCATGGAATGTCCGAATTCGCGAACAGTCCAAGTTATCCCGGTTGAGTCCCTTACTCATGCTGCGTTTGTCTCCTTGTGGCGCGCGAGCATACCAATCATCGTGAGCGGCCTCGATAGTGCACTTCAGCTCCCGTGGACGCCAAGCTACTTTATTGAGAAGTACGGAAACATGGACGCTTCTCTGATAGATGGGGGCACCGGAGAGACCATTCAGTCGACGGTCGAGGACTTCTTTAAAGGGTTTGGTCTCTTGGATCCTCAACGCCCCGTCCTGAAATTGAAGGTACGATTCGTATCCATATAGCGGGGTGATCATTATTGAATGAGCAAGGATGGATGTCCCTGTGAGATTTCCGGTGGTATGGGTGGACACAGAGGCGGTGCTCATATATATTTTCAACTGGCCCCTGCGTTTTCATATCCTCTTGATACCGGAAACCCAATTCATGCTATCCCCACAGGACTGGCCATCGGACCGGACCTTCAAGGAGGCGTTTCCGGATTTGTGGGCGGACTTTCTCTCAATATTGCCAATGCCCGACTATACCAAGCCGAACGGGTACTTCAACCTCGCGGCTTACATACCACGCAATACGGTTGTCCCAGACCTTGGTGAGTTGGATCCGTCTAATGCGTATGTTAAGCAGGCCCTTAGAAATTTATCTAGGCCCGAAGTTATACTTGGCATATCAGGATAAGAACTGCCTTGGTTCTACAGCGCTGCATGCCGATGTCTCGAATGCTTTGAATATCTTGATGTATGCATCAAGGACCTCGGACGATAGAGACGGCTTCGCACTTTGGCATGTCTTCTCGCCGAGCCACACTCCGCTCCTCAGGGAGTATCTACGCTCTCTCGATAAGTCCATTGGGGCTGTAGATCCAATCCACGCTCACATGTTTTATCTGACCGACAAGCATTTAGAAGAACTTGAGCAGAAGTTCGGCGTGAAGCCCTACACAATCAAACAATATAAGGGTGACGCCATCTTCTTGCCAGCAGGGGCTGCCCATCAAGTGTGTTCGCAGATTGACTCACTTTAGGATGTTTACCAAGTCAATTCCACAGGTTAGTAACCAAGCTGATTGCATCAAGATAGCTCTGGATTTTATCAGTCCCGAGCATCTCGATGCCTGCGCTGCCGTAGCGGAGGAGCTACGCCTCGAAAATCTTGCCGGAAACTCCAAGGATGACCTTGTCCAATTGGGGTCAACCTTATGGGCAGCCTGGGACGTGTTAAGTGACCTGAATCCTGCTCCAACTCGTGATCCTGTGGGGTTCCTCATTCCCATTTGTCGATCTGATGTCCTAACAACCACGCCTACAGACAGGCAGCAACCAAGGGAGCCTTGATGGCGTACATGTCCGAGATCTTCATCCGTCTCCCGAAATGATGCCACCCCTGGCATCTGGCCTGAATCCGGACTCAGGCTTGATGACCAGGGAAACGACAAGCGATGAACCGAGGAGACAACGGGAAATCCTACTTGTCAATAAAATCCAAGAACGTCCCTGTTGCTGCCCTTTCCTGGAATGCCGTGCCGTTGCAAAACACTTCTCCAAGAGTGGATTGCTGGACCACATGTGAGTACTTTCTCACTTGAAGTGATTCTTGAGCCCACGTTCTGTGCTAGACGCGACAAACATGGCGAGGATATGTTTCGAGCAGCACTAGGGGACCATAAAAGACGGCTGCTCAAGATGCCCGGCGACGCGCTTGAGAGGGAGGTCACGAAACTCCTTAACGATTTCTTGGATTCGTAAGGACGATGTTCACCGTATTACCCAATCATACGGTGTCCAGTATGTCAACGAAATACAATATATGACAAACGTACTTCAAGTGTCAACGTTCCAATTAAGAATCGGAATGCAAGGTTCAAGCAGAACCGTGCCGTGGATCACGTGCCAAAGAAAGTATTAGTCTCGCTGGTACGGTCTACGGATTGCAGCGGCGCAAGCGGATCGACTACTCCACTGACCAGAAGGTTACTACATACGACACTAAGAATGCGACCTATTATATAGTCGTTGCACCGTTATACCTCAAGGAATGCAACGAGCCTCTAACTGAGAACAGTGCGATTCGTGCGCTTACGTGGCTCACGACAGACTTAGATTCTCACGGATAGAGTGCAGTGATTCGACGAACTCGCCTCCCAAGGGAGTCGGGGACCATTCATTTAGCATTACGGTGCTCGATGTTCGAGGGATCTTTCCGATACACGCAATGCTGGCCCAGCAGCAGTCAGTCATGCAGACAGTGCGGCGAGATGGGTGCATTCGACAAGGTATCTGGTATTCCACACTCTACGTCGTTATCTACATTACCGTTCTTTCAGTGGGAGCGGGACAGGACTCAGAATAAAACCAGGATACATGTATTCTGGACCTTTGGGCGGGATGCAGCTTTGGCCGTGCGCTGCCCGGACAGGGTCGACACTGGCTGCCAACATAATTCGATCGTGAGTACCCCCTTGCAACACTGTTTGCTGACCGGGGCTCTGCTTTGACGGGTTCCTTCATGACAGGTGTATACGTGAAGTGTCAGTTTTGAGGAGACATGGCGATTCTTTCGGTGGGGTCCGGCTGTGATTCTGCGCTGTTCGGCAGGTATGATTATAGTTGTACGCTGTCCGGCGGGGTATGGCTCAGATCGTGTATTGTCTGGCGGCGTACGTCTTTGACTGCGCTGTCCGGTGCAGTGCGGCTCTGGTTGTGCGCTGTTCGGCGGGGTGCGGTTATAGTTGTGCGCTGTCCGGCGGGGTATGACCGTGGTCGTGTCATGCCCGCCTGAGTGTTCTATGGCTTACTCCTTCAAGCTGCTTGTGAGTGCGCCAGTAAAAGGCTGTGTGCTATCTGCGATGACGG